GTTGTTTTATTTGATCCATCGCTGCGTTTATAATGGGTATCATGAGTGCAGTCGCCGCCAGATTACTATACATTTGGGACAGACATACATAACAATTATGACAAACAGCATACGCCAACCTTCATAACTAATTGTCACTCACCTAATCCACATCGACAGGAAAGCCGTGGTAAACATAAATCCAAACAATAGCCTACGAATATAAACATATTATTTAATATATGAAGTATTTTCGCTGTAATTGCGGAGGGAATGACCTTTTAGGTGATGTTCCGGTGACTAACAAGACTTTGAGTGCAATTCTCTTGTGAAGCAATGATTTCTCAACGGCAGCGGCGGCAATGAGACTGCCGAGGAATATCATAACTGTGCCCTTCAATCATATTAATTAACAGACATTAGTGGCCAAAACAAAACTTAAAGTACTGAAAGTACTGAAAAGTTGTAATTACATTGACATAGGCTTTGGCGGTCAGATCTGACGATAAGACTCCGAGCAATGGAAACAATACTATTGGCAATAATGCCGTAACAGTTATGGGAACGGCTTCTGTATGTTGTTTTATTTGATCCATCGCTGCGTTTATAATGGGTATCATGAGTGCAGTCGCCGCCAGATTACTATACATTTGGGACAGACATACATAACAATTATGACAAACAGCATACGCCAACCTTCATAATTAATTGTCACTCACCTAATCCACATCGACAGGAAAGCCGTGGTAAACATAAATCCAAACAATAGCCTACGAATATAAACATATTATTTAATATATGAAATATTTTCGCTGCAATTGCGGAGGGAATGACCTTTTAGGTGATGTTCCGGTGACTAACAAGACTTTGAGTGCAATTCTCTTGTGAAGCAATGATTTCTCAACGGCTGCGGCGGCAATGAGACTGCCGAGGAATATCATAACTGTGCCCTTCAATCACATTAATTAACAGACATTAGTGGCCAAAACAAAACTTAAAGTACTCAAAGTACTGAAAAGTTGTAATTACATTGACATAGGCTTTGGCGGTCAGATCTGACGATAAGACTCCGAGCAATGGAAACAATACTATTGGCAATAATGCCGTAACAGTTATGGGAACGGCTTCTGTAAACCAGTAGAAACTCATAACCAGCACCACATACGCGCACTTCCCAGCCTTAACATTAAAAAAGTTACCCAGTTAATTGAGTTTTTTTTTCATTTTGTTTAACACATTATTTTTAAATGAGATTTTTCTTGTGAGAAAACTTTGCACTGAAGCCATAAGAATTTTGTAAATAAATATTTATTATAATGCTATTTCACAAGAGATTTGTTGATTCAGTCGACAGTAAACATTATTTATTCTTAGACTTAACTCAAAGATCAACAGTAAATGTAGTATTAATTTAATTGAAAGTTACAAAAGAATTATTGTGTAAAATATAATTTAATTTGTTGATGCTAAACATCCGTTGATTAGTTTTAAAGTCTTCATGTAATCATCAGTACATGAGTTTAGATTTAGATTAGCGCTAGAAATGAATACAAATAACTAAAGTGGTGATCGTTTCATAATTTGGCAAAAAATAGTTCAATGTTATGGTTAGGAAACGAAAAAATAAAATTACTGTCAATTATCATATTTTCATTCTTATGAAACCTATTAAGTGTTACAATTATATAACCTATTGTGTTATAAATACAAATGTTGTTTTGCTAATATAACTTAAATATATACCGGTATTAAAATAAAAAATTCAAAATCAAATGCAAATTAAGTACTATTCAATAGAATAAATTAAAATTATTATATAATAATAATTTATTAATAAAATCATATTTCTGTGACTATTATTATAGTTGTAATTATGTTAATGAATGGGAAATCAAAAGTTTTGACAGAAAGTGAATTAATAATGACAAGTATTGCAAAACCATAATAAATATCTTTCTTTGAAGTTTATTACTCTAATAAATAGTTCATTGAATTATAGTTTATACACAGAATGGTGTAAATGATGACAATATTTTCACTTTCTTACCGGTGATGTGGCTATAAAAGGGATGGGAATTAAGACGATGGGAATGCACCAAGCAAATATATAACTCCTAACGGCCCACAATTCTTCAATTGACGGCATATTCTCTCAATCGGTCCTCAATCTCGTCGTCCAATAAATAAAATGTGAATAAAAGCAGAAAATTATAAAATTTTGTTTTATATAAACTTCGACTCATGAAATGGTTGTTGAGTTTGGTAATTGTCAACTAATATTGTATTTATGTCTAATAACTCCTTTATTATTGTTAAACTGGAACTAACTGTCCATTTAGTAGAAATGTTTGGCAAAGACTGAATGGCTTTTGATTGTAAGACGTCTCCGCTATTTATGGCTTTAAATCACTTTCACGTGTTATGAATACGTCAGTCAATGATATCGATAATTACGAAAATGAAAGAAAAATAAAAATCATTAGTTTTGAGTTGATATCAACTGTTTTGTGATATCATATAAAGAGATGCTCTTATTATGACATCCAATCATAACTAATGGTTATATCGACTCTTTATATTGAAATGTTTTATAATTATTTACACAATATTTTAAATATAATTTTAATGATAATTTCATGTAAATTAATATAATTTGTGAATTTCCAAATCAGTATATCTGTGAGCTTGGTTTTATTAATATGTATTGTAATTATTTATTGGGAAAGAAGACAATACCAAATGGCTTATCAAATGATAGATAAATAACATAATCATAAGACATATGATGTTATTTGAAAATTATTTATTATGTTTAATTGAAAACACAATAGATTTGATTATAAGTTTCACTTTTATTGATATATCGAGTTCACTTTTACACTTCAATTCAGTTGGCTATAACAATTCATTATTTATTATATTATACCTTATACTTACCATTATTAAAGAATATATAATATATTTATTTACATATTAAACAAATTATTTATTTATTTAGCAAATTAATACAGTGAAATAACAATTTATAATCACAAAAATTCATACAAATGATTCAAATGAAATATAAATTAATATCAAACATTTCTAAAAACGTTACATAGAAAATACTGTTTAGCTTTAAATAAATTTAATAAATCTATAATTTCATTCTTTTTAATTCATTTAATTTTTATGAAAACCATAATTGTATAAATTACAAAATAAAATATAATAAAAGAATGTAATTATACAGAATATACTGTATATTCTACAGGTTATTATACTATGACATAAAGGGATATGAATTGTTGTATTGATTGGGAAACAATACCTTCAACTTTGGTCTAATAGAAAGTAAAGTGAATATAAAAGAGTCTTAAAGTCTAACTTATTGTGGACTTTAAGCCATTACGTTATGAAATACAAGTACAACA